CCAGGAACGGAAGTAAGTTGAAGGTTTGTTTAATTGAGAAATTTCTGAAACAAAAACTGTGTTTAAACAGAAGCTGGGAAACAGGAAATCAATGCTTCGGGAAAATATTTTGGTCAAAGTGTTTCCTCATTTGCGGGGATCTTTTCAACATAACTGCGAGTTCGTTAAACTAATAGTTTTACTTACAGTTTATCAGAGCATGTGTCTGGTTTTTCCATGCGATATCCTGTTTTGAGAAGATTGTACAGCTCCTTGTTGTTTATTCCAGGATAAGGATTTCCTCCTAGAACAACAACAGTTACAAGTTTGACTATGCATGTAGATGTTTGCAACCCTAGTCTACCCGGGAGAGGAACTCCCATGTAAAAAGGACGGGGGTGTTCGCCGAAAATCTTGAAAAGAGCCCCTCAGAGGTACCAAATCCTGTTTTGTGGGCGTGGCTTGAAATTTTTTTTCAGCCCTAAGAGTTACCAATTCTGAAACAACACATTATGTCCTGACATATTTGTGTTAGGCTCAAAACCCTGGATGAAAGGTACCGCAAAAGCTCGTGCTGTGGAACGTTTGAGGCTGAATACCCTGAGAGGTATCAAAACCGCTTTTTTAACCCCTTAAAGATACGAAGAGCACACCCGCCCTTTATCTATGGGGGCCTCCCCTGGATATGCAATAAACATTGTAGGTATAGCAAATTTAGACTGTCTTGGACTTGTAATGCAAAAGACAACCAGGCTGATAATAAGAGCAGGAAAGTTGACTTTAATGTGATAAATTTTGACTGATTTCAATGGTGACTGTTTACCGAGACAAATAGATTTACCTCGAAGCAAAAAGTAAGTCATGTGGACCTGCACGAAAAGCGACCCCCAAGTGTAAAGATCAGCATATATTATATGGTACCTAGCTAAACATGCGAAAGAAACCACACGAGTTTGCATGTTTATGCTCCTTTGTTTGCAAACTGCTGTAAATACCAACATGGACAGAGAATGTCTATGTACTCTTTTGTAAGAACGAAGAATTTTCGGACTGGAGGTAAATGTTCTTAGTTTTTTTCAGCCAACCTGAGCCTGAAATATTACACGTTCAAACGAACGTAAATTATTTACCACTTAAATATCCTCAAAAACAGGTGCAACGAAGCATGGGTGGATCACATGCGGACCCTAACACCTTTATTTCCTTTCTTTTTTTCAGATAAATTTTAAGAGCATAACATAACGCACTATGAGCTAAATTTCCTATATATTTTGTTACTCGTAATCGGCTACACTCTGGTTCTGGTCCTCGTCACTTTTCCAGCGTCCGTGAAACTTTAACAACCTTTCAGAAACGTTATGCGAGAAGTCGTTCTAACAACAGAGGTTACCCCACCAGAATGTAAACTATGGAGGCCGTTATCTTTGGGATCATAGCCCACATTCTTTAAAGTTAAGCATCCTTAAATATCTCACCTACAGCGGGTACAAGATAATTTGCCATTCCTAAGGGTATACCCAACTTCTTTTTCCAAGTGGATCACACTTGGAAAAATGGGTCAAACTTGGAAAAAAGATTGAAACTTGGAAAAATAGGTCAAACTTGGAAAAAAGATTCAAACTTGGAAAATAGGTCAAACTTGGGAAAAAAGGATCACACTTGGAAAAAGGTCACACTTGGAAAAAAGATCACACTTGGAAAAATGGGTCAAACTTGGAAAAAAGGCGGACAAACTTGGAAAAAATAGGGTCACACTTGGAAAAATCATCAGTCATCACCACCATCGACGCGCTTTACTCGTGTCACTGATTCAGAACGTGACCAGCTCGAAGGACAATAAGTGTTGGGTCGCAAGCGAGAGAGATCGAATGAAACTGGCGTAAAGTATAAATAGAAAGAAACGGCCAATCACGACTTTGCAATAAGGTCGTCCGACAACTAACACAGAAAATGCAGCGAGGAATTAATGTGACGCTAAAATACCAGCGGAAAATGTTTGTGTTCTTCAGTTACCATCTCCAGTCGTTAAAGTTCTCAGTAGTTTTGCTATAACTTCTGGTAGTCCTGAATGCAAAAATGCAGACGACCAGTAACTATATAACCGAAGATGGTCTATGATGAACGTGGGCAAGACAAGCTCATTTATCCGGGTTATGTTGTATATTCAAATATGTCCCTAAAAGCATTTACTTAGTAGCTTAGTAGACTGTATAGACCCTTTTCATAAATGGCTGCCATTCAACTGACACGGTAATTCAAAAGAATTGATACTCTCAAATGAGCTCACCATGACGGGACGCACGGGGCTTCTTCTGTAAGTACCGCGGAGAAATGGTAGGAAATTTCCCTAGCATTCCTTACATACTCTCATTAGGGTTCTTCGTCTTGCGGCCAGGGAAGCCGTCATAATCTGTTTC